TGTTGTACCTAATTTCATCAATTTGATTTTCACCTTTCTATGAAACCTCAGATTCTGAAGGAATCAGAATCAAGATAAATTCGGTGGATTTTATTTAAACACTTCTTCATCTAAATTTGTAATTCATTTAACTTTTTATTAATATTTACAAAATTTAATTATGTCCCCTATTTTACCACAATTTAAACAAGTTAAATCTTTTATAAGAGTTTTATTTAATTTTTAGCTTTATTGTTGCTTTCTTTTAGACTCCTATTGGGTGTTTATATTTTTTCTTTAGAATAAAGATGTATCTTTGACTAGGTGTTAGACCTGTAGTGTCTTTTAAATATTTTATTTATACTATTTTTTAATTATGTGTTCCGAGGCAGCCCATTCTACATTCTGTGTGTCGAGATTTTAAAAGTATTAATCCAAATGTTTACAAAATTGTATCCTAATTCTTTTTTTAGTTTTCATGCATTCATATTTATTTTCGTGTGAAGTTTTATTTCGGTACAAATTTTGTAAACCGTTCTTTTTTTTGAATTTATACTAATTAAATTGTATCCATAAGTTTATTTACTGTTTATGGTTATAGGTTTGACCATATTGTTGTTAATATTTGTTCCTAACTTTTTTTCTTCCTAAGAAATAAGGTAGTCCAGCCAAAAACTTTTCTTCCAGAAGCTTTGATTAGAGTCTTCCCTTAAAAACATTAACCTAGTTTATGAAAGTAGTAATTCTTTGAAAATTACCTAAGTGTTTTACATTTTAAATTTACTAAGTAATTCTTGCGATTTTTTATCTTTTAATGAGATGGATCCCCAATAAATGAAGTTGAAATAGTGAGAATTTAAAGATGACACAGCATCCTGAATACCTTCACCATTTCATCATAGATAGGTTCACCTTCATGCATTGACTTGATTGAATTTAAAATTTCTAAGTTGTGTGTCGTGAGGATGATAGTCCCACCAACCTAACTTGTCCAGTAATCTCTACAATAAGGGATTTCTGCCAATAGCTTTATCAGAAATTAATTGACTTGCGTTTTTTATAAGCATTTGCAGCCATAGTTCATTTGTTGCAAAATACTTAATATTATTATATTCACTTAAACCACTGAGGTTCCATCATATATTTGTTTGAAGCTTTAATTTAAAATGAGATATAGTGTTAGGTTTATCAAATAATGCCTAAGTCTGGTTTTCCTATTATACTATTCTCTTATGATGATTTGATAGGATTTTAATTCAAATTGTTTTAGCATCTTCTGAGTCAGTGTTCGCTGAGCATCGAGTGGTGTTTTCTTCTATAATGTTATATTTCTAGAGGCTCAGTAGTGTCAGGAGCTCATGTTGGAGTAGTTTGCTGAATTGAACCTCAAGTTTACCTCAATTTATCTTTTTAATTTATTTACATAATTCTTGTTTACTTGATAGAAATTTGATAAGGTTTAGAAACATGTGAGTTTTTACAGTTTCTTTTTTCCTTTATGGTTTTCTGACCACTAAAGGTTTATCTTCTAACATATGTTCTATTCGTTTTAATTGTGGTTTAAACAATATTAATACTTGCATTACAAAGTTATTTTGTGTTCAATTATCTTACTATTTGTATCATTTTAATCTTCGAGCATACTTATATGGTTAGCACATTATAATTTCAGTTGATCTAATGTTTTAATTTACTAATTGTTTAGGAGGAAAAATCATTTTATTGTTTGTTCATTTACTATCCATTCTGGTTCTTTTTATCGCGAATATATGAATTGGATTTTTAAACTTTTATCAGATTGTTTCTCCTTAATGAGTTATACAATCAAAAAAAATTTAATTTCTAGTTGAGTTATTTTGAGTTATTTAATTTATAATCTAAATATTCATATTTTAATTCGCCGAAAGTATAAGTTTTTAATATCTTTTTTATTTTTATTAAATTCCTAGTTTTAGTTATTTCTTTTATTAAACCTTTTTCAATATCGTCTTTACTAAGGACATTTAATTCTCTGTTGATATCACTAACATTTTCAGTTATAGCTGAAGCTGTTTCTGGAGATGTATATACTAAGTTGGACTGTTGATTAACATAATTATCTACAGGATTATAAACTGCCTGTTGGATAGAATGACTATAATCAACTCCTTTCATTTTATTTGGAATATCCGAAGTAGAATATCTGGGTTTTACTAAGGTTTGAATAATGGGTTTATTTTCAAGGTTCTTTATACTTAGCATAAATCACAGAAGGTATGGAGGAACTAGGTTTATCATTTTGATCTGTAGTAACAGAGGAAGATGACCCTGTATACCTCATACTTTGACTGCGATTGAATTTTAATGTGACTTTACCATCTTCAAATTGTTCAATTTTCTGATTTTTTGTAAATTGACATTTGGTTTTACTGTGTTCTTGGAGCTAGGAGACGGTACGACCCCTTTCCAATATCCCATTCATCTGGGAAGAGTAATATCTTCATTGAATAGTTTTAGAATTACGTTGTTAGTTTTAGTTAATAGTCTGTTTGCAAAAATCGATTGTTTCACCAATTTTAGGTTTGTATACTTTATATTTAGTTTCCAAAAGCTGAGTCATGCTTAAATGAATTTTTATATATTTAAAGCTATAGGAAATGATCCATATATAATATTATATATATATATATATATATATATATATACTTTAAAAAAAATTATTTACCATAAAATTTTTCATCTTTAAAAAAATTGTTCCCACCACCTGAAAAAATCGAGTAAATCTACTAACAAGATCTGATCACACACTCTTTTTCTCTCTCTTATATACTTTAAAAAAAATATTACCAAAAATTTTTCATCTTAAAAAAAATTGTCCCACCACCTGAAAAAATCGAGTAAATCTACTAACAAGGATCTTGATCACACACTCTTTTCTCTCTCTTCAAATCTAAAAAGCTCAAAAAAAAAAAAATCAAATTAAGAAACGAGAGGCGAATATGAAGTTCGTACTGATTTAGGGGCTACCGACGCCATTTTCAATCTCCGACAAACATCACACGGCTTCACAAAAGCGTCAATGGCCTTTTGGTGTTGTCGGGCAGGCACGTCACCTTATTACCCTACCATGTGAAGCACCTTACATGGTAATGCATCATCGAATCAAATCACCTAATTTTGTACAACAACTATATAATATCTATGTGCAATAATTCTGTTGTTCCAAGTGCTTAAATTATAAAAATACTTTCACGATCTTTATACAACGGATAATTTCATTTAAAAACTTTAATATATTGACACTTTATTATAAAAATTCAATAATAAAAATAACTGAAGTGATATTTAATGTGAAATTACTGATTTACTTTAGTTTAACTTGAATTAATGAACTAAAAACCACCCACTCGTTCTATTTCCCGTTAACTCAAAAATCCTTCTCTTACAAAAGGAATATTCATCTTCAAAATCCAAAGCAGTGAATGCGTTTTCAAACTCTCTCACTCCCTCGCAAATTTTTAGCATCAAAGAGCAATTCTGTGTTTTAACTTTATTTTTCCTTAACTGTAAATATATAAATGAAGAGATATTTAGTGTTTAGGTGATTATCACTAGTGAGAGATTTAAAGACTGCGTGGCTAGAAAATATACCACTATACCTCCCACCAACCGAGTCCAGGAATGCAAAAGCATCATTAGGGTCAATATCAAACTTTTCTACAAACTGCATTTTGGAACTAAAAATTGAAAATAATGAAAGCGAAATGACAAATTCTCTTCCAAGGTGATACGAATTTAGCTATTTGTGTAAACAATGACGGACTTCTTCACACTAGCAGTTCTTTGCACCCGCAAATTGATACTTAAAATGGACAATAAAAAAGCTTGCTCAGCCATGCATATGAGATTTATAATACAAACAACAAACAAACGTCCTTAAAAATCTAAACATGAATACATTAAAAATCCAACATGAATACATCAAAATCAAATAGAATTGAAAATGCAACCACTATCAAAATCGAAACCAAACATGAATACTTTAAAAATCAAATAGAATTGGATTAATTTGACTGACTTAGTTTTTACTGAACTGTACCCAAACCTAAATACAAAAACTGTTGGCCTGTGATCAAGTCTGCATTAACTAGAAAAAATTTCATATATAATGTTAAGAAAAATTATCAGTAATATTGGAAATGTCTAAAAAAAATTAGGTTGTAGTTTTTATTCAGTAATTAGGGGTATAAATGAACCGAACAACTTATGATTTGACTTAATCTAAGATTATTCTAGTTGAGCTATCGAACTTGTTTTGTAGTTGAGTTTGTCCTTGACTCGTTAGTTGAGTCGGTCGCGAGTTAGCTTTATTGAGAACAACTCAATAGGACGAAATTAATTAAATCTATATCATGATGACATTTTTTTGATTCCACAGATTCGAGCTTAAGCTCGAATTCAGCTCATTTGCATTTATACTTGTAATTAGAGCCCAATTCTAAAATAATAATAATAATAATAATATATATTTTTTGAGTATGTGATAAGATGGAATTGTGCTAGGCCAGCTTGAAGCCCATTGCATCGCGAGCCGAGGCTAAAAATGTCCAATATGAGCCCAATGGGTTGGGCTATATCAACCATATCAAACGTCAAGAACGATAGAGGTAAGGATCTATATATCTGCAATACGAAGTACAGTTCAAATTTATACACCCAACTTAGAAAAAAAAAAATTACTTTACAATTTAATCGTAATTAATTAATAATTAATACAATAAAAAATTACATTTTAAATCAAAAAAATCCTAAAATAACAAAATGTTTAGTACCTTGTTAAATTTACAAGTCATCTACTAAAAACGATTAGGGGGACTAATTTAAGCCGTACAAAATGACAATTTGAACACCTTATTTTGATTATTTTGTAAAAAAATTCTAATTTCGTCACTCAACGTCATTGATAAATTGCCTCTACAATTACCACTTCTATTATTATTATTATTATTATTATTATTATTATTATTATTATTATTATTATTTTCTTGATGAACTAATGTCTCCATCCGTTGAAGCAGTAAATCAAAATGGTCTTGGCTCTTGACGAGACTAAGTCTTACATAGTTGCTTTCAGCACCAAATAAGCTTCCATGCCGGCCAGTGATTTTGGCTTCTGATTTTAAAACTTCGAGACAATCTTTATCTTCTTCTCTTTCACACTTTAGCCATGCAAAAGCTGCATATATATGCGAATATATATTAGAAATGATGATCTCGTAAGCTATGATTGGTTGGATGTAATGCAATACAATATAATCAAAGATATAATACAATGAAAACTATAATGCAATGCAATGTAATTGAGATTTACTATTTTGGTAATATAATTTAAAAAATTTAATGTAATGTAATTACTATTCCATTTTTATGTTTATTTGTAAACATATAATGTAATGTAATTAAAACACTACTACCACCAAACATACCACAACCACTCGTTGAGATGGTGGTAAGGTGGAGCGGTGGTGGTGGTGTAATAGGTGATGGTACTGATGGCTAAGGTAGTGGTGGTGGTGATACAGTGGTTGGTGCGGTGGTGGTGGAACGTTGATGGTGGTGAGATGGTAGTATTAAATAGCCTTGAAAGGTAAAATTTTTATTGGGGTAGCCTGATATAATTGGTAATACATTTGCTTGATGTAATCAACAATACATGTGTTTTTTGATGCAATGAATATTACATCAATTGGTAACGAAGATTACATATGTAATCTCAATTACATTAAAAGTTTAACCAAATAATGTAATCAATGTAATGTAATCCCTATTCCATTACATGGTTGATTACATCAAACCAAACATGACCTTAATGTTTTTGTTATCTCTTAAATCAAATGCAAGATAGCTAAATCCTTTGCTTTAGAATAAGATTTAGAATTTACCTGGAGAAGGTGTTTTAATTTTCTTGTAAAAGGAACAGTGATTGTGGTGAAGCTCTTGGAGAGAAAAACGTGTTGACATTGACAAGATGTTGCTCAATTTTCTCCACCGATCTCTCATTGTTTTGAATCCAAATTCAAAAATTCCATTTCCTTTTCCTTCAACAACTACCTTCAAAAGTTTCAGAACTCTTAACTGCGTTTCTCTTGGTACACCATACGTACTTAGACTCATATATTCTACCATCCTTTGGTACACGGCTTCATCCTTTATTATTGCCCATCTACAAATAAGAAAGAGCAGTTCTAAGGTTACAGGTTTTGATCCCAATTAAAAATCAAATTATATATATTTATATATATCTTAGATAAATGGTAAGAATTTGAAAAAAAAAAAAAACAGCATAAAATTGGAACAATCTTTTAAAAAATATCCTTTTTGATCGGTTTGTTTTATGAGTACATCCATAGACAGGATATAAATAAGTCTAATTCATGTCTTCTATAATTTTGTAAACTTTATACTCCTTCTGACCCATATATATACGTCTAATTTAATTTTCACATAGATTAAGAGAAATTAATTAATATAGTTAAACTATATTTTTTGTTTAGTTTTTTTCAAAAATATCCATTTATAATATTAAATAATGTATATGCAATTGGCAATATGAATGTACATTAAATAGAGGTATATTAAGAAATTAAAAAATAATTGATTTTTTAATTTCTTAAAAAAAATAGACTAAATTTTGGGACAGACAAAAAAATGAAAGTGAGCCTGTATATTTCTTTTAGGAAAAAACTTACCTAAATGGGTTTATGGCCCAACAAATGGATCAAAGCAATGAAAATATTTTTTTTTTCTATTAAAAAAGGGGTATTCTGATCATACAATTAGAAGAAAAAGATAAAGTAAGAATAACTTTTAAAAAATCCATAATTTTATTGGTTTAATCCATAAATGGAGCGATGAATTCAGTCTAGGTAAGTTTGTTTTTGTTTTTTTTTTTTTTTTTTAAAAAAATCCATTAATTTTATTGGTTTTTAATCCATAAAGGAGCGATGAATTTCAAGTCTAGTAAGTTTTTTTTTTTTTTTTTTTTTTGTTTTTTTAATACGAATTGTGGAGTCATAATCTCAGAAAAAAAAAAACTTTGTTGCTTAGAGAACTTATTAAGAGAAAAAAAAAGAACGAAAAACCATTCTGTTTTTTTTTTTTTTTTTTTGTTTTTTTTTAATACGATGTGGAGTCAAATCTCAGAAAAAAAAAAACTTTGTTGCATAGAGAACTTATTAAGAGAAAAAAAAAAACGAAAAACCATTTCTGGATTTAATTTACTTATAATGTGTATGTGCTACGAGCCAAACACTAGATTATTAAACTATAATTATAAACAGACATACTTAATGAAATTATATTGATAGGTTAATACTTTAATTATTGAATGTATGTGAATATAATAGGCATGACTACAGTTGCAGAACTGTCGGTTTCGGTTAAAAAATTATTGCTTCCGGTTATAAAAAAATGGAACCGGAACTGAATCACTTTTAGACGGTTTCTAAGACTAGTTTTGGAATCTGCCAGCTTCGTTTTTTCTTCAGTTTTGAACCAAAATTAAATAATATATTTTAAACTTTTTAAAATATTTTTTAAAGATTTATAGCTTAAATAAATGACAATAATAAATATTATTGTTGAAAAAAACTAAATCAACTAAATCAATTTAATAAAAATTCTAAAAAAATACTTTAAAAAACTATAATAAAACAAAAAAAATAGGTTGGGAGTTTCGTTAAGAACATGTTTTTGGCGGTTTCGATATGGTTTCAATACTGAAACCGCCGATTTGGATTTCAAAAATAAAGAACTAGAATCGAACCTTAAGTTTATAGTTTCAGTTACAGTTTTAGAATCAGAATCGTTGATCACGGTTTAGTGCTCGTTTTGACCAGTTTGATTTCAGTTCGATTCTAGTTTGAAATCCAACCATGGTCATTCCTAAACAGAGAGAAGTTAATTCTTACCCAAATCTAGTGCCAGCATGACCAGTAACCTTGGAAAGTGTAAATATCATGAGGTCTTCATCTGCTGGAGTTGAGATGGCCGTAAAATGAGGCCAATAATAGGCAAGATCATAAATTGTTTTCACTGATGCTCCTTCAAGAACTGCCTTCTTCAATTGACCATCAGGATTATTTGGGGAGGTCACAAACTCAATATAATTGCTTGATGAAAAATCCCTTTTCTGTTTTGAAGACAAAGTGTCTCTATCGAACTTGTAATTTTCAGATTGGAAAAACTCTGTTTGGTCCTTATAAACCTGTTCAAAGAATGAATAAATAAAATCAATATTTCAATTTTCAGATAAACATATTGAATAACTTCAGGGACTAAATATTGAATTTTATTAATTCAAATGTTTATATGAAATTGACTGTTCAATATCATTGGTTAGCTTTTCGAGGTTTAAAAAGATTTTCGATTACTCATTCTAATTTTTTACGGGGATCCTAAGATTGATATTCACTCCTAGGCAGCGATAATACTACAAAGATTGCCTAAGTGGCATGCAATGTTGAGGAAGCTTACTGGGTAATAGGGGACCGAAGCAACAACCCTAGCCGGTGAAGAAGAAGAAGAAGAAGAATAAGAGAGAGCATGCACAGCAGCATTAAGTAGATGAGTAGCTCCTGCTCCAAAAATAATGTATCTTCCACTGGTATTTGCATTACCAACAAAAGAGTGGAGTTTGAGGATCTGAGACTTAAGCTCCTTTGAGATTAAAGAACCATCATTGAACTCATAGCTCATACGATGCCATCCAGGCACCATAACACTGCTGCTCGCTGCATGTTTTAACCAGAACGGCTCTAAGAACATTGGATCTCCACTGCAATAATACACAGGAATCAAATTATGTATATCCAGTAAAGAAAAAGATCAATATAATTATAATTGTGATAATGATCGTTAATTACCTGTCGGCGTCCAGTTCACAATTTGGAATAAGGTGAGAGCAATCAGGACCTTGAAAGCAAGCATTGCATTCGCAAATGGGTTTACCATCAACGCCTAATAAACCATCCAAGAAAGCCCTTCCATGGCCTGAGCATGAAATAGAGGCAACAGCTTCAGCTTCTTCTACTGCTCTTTTGGTCCAATTATTCCTTGCTTCCATTTCTCCATGCGTAAACAGATTAATGAACATGAAGAGATTCAGAATTATTGAACAACTCAAGAAAACAATTATTATGTGTTTAGAGCTTTGAATCTTAGCCATATCTATATTTTCCTTTTCTTTTCTTTTCAATTTTCTTAGTGATCAGATATAACTTTGTGGGGTAAAGGGGCTCTATATATACACACCGGAGCAGGGAAGATTGGCGTTGTTTGGTAGACATGGGAATGAGATTATAATAAAATGATATCCATGTGCGCGAATGTGAAAGCCCTAGGAAAGGAGGTAACTAAACTTAGTTTAAACACTAATTAATTAGTAAAACCTGTACTTGTGTTTAAGAAAACCAGACTATATTTTCTTATTGCAAGTTGTATTCATTAAAAAGGGTACTAATTAATTAGAATAAATTGACTTGGTTTACCAAGTTTTTTTTTTTTAATTTTATTAAAATTTCCTTATCACACTTTGTACAATATATAATCCAACGCGGTATTAGTTAGAATGACGCATAATTTTTGCACTTTATACATTTATATTCTAAACGGGTGAGCACATTTAAATCTGGATTATCCTACATCACTTTCACATTTTTTGTTTAAACTCCATTATTTTATAATTATTTTTTAACCCCAAAGATAAGAAAGAGAAAGAAATATAATCTGAGAGAGGCTGCTCATTATTTTATTGCATGCAGTATATATATATTGAATTCTCATGCACTCGTTTAGAACTGAAAAGTCTGAATAGAGTTTATCATTAATTTATGTACGGTTGTTTATAATTACATTTGAATATTTACAAACTTATAATTTATATTTGGTATGGATGATGAATGATTTGAAAATCATTATACTTGATCCATTTATAAATATAAGTCGTTTAAAATTTTTGTATAGTAATTAAGAAATCAATTAATTCTCTTAGATTATAATAAAAAGTTTATTAACTTGACTAAATTATCTTGTTTCACATTATTAAGGATTAATAATTGTGTTCAATATATATAAGAGTAAAAGTGAAAAAAGCTCATTAATTACTCCGTAATATTTTCAAAACGACTCATATTTGTGGAGAAAAAAAAATAGTTTAAAATAATTTAAATTTGTAGATAAAGAGAATAATATTTAAATCGATGTAATTTGTATTTGGATATTTTTATTGTCATGTTGAAACATATGCAGGTCCCCTTCCCTTAAAATAAAAAAACATATGCAGGTCAAAGATCATCAGCAAATTTAGCATATGAACATCAAGGTCATTAACTAAAACTAGTAGATTGATGTCCATTTATTTATTTATTCTGATATTGACTTTTTGTTTATTTGTTATCATTTAGAAACGATGATGGATAATGGCATGTGAATAGAGTTAGAATACTTCACAAAAGCCACTTATTAAAATGTTGTAATTGTACTTTGGTAGTTATCCAAAAGCCACTTATTAATCTTCCATCGGTTCTTAATTAATATTTAACTCAAAGTGGAATCAATCGGAACTTAATGAATTAAATAATTCAATAATATATATATATATATATATATCTCAAACCAATCAATCAACTAATAGAGATTCATACACTCCTAGAATAAAACAATTAGTTCATAGCAAAGGAATTAAGCAAAACAACTTAAATTAAATTGCAAAAATATTGTCGATTCCAATTTTTAAACAAAATAAAACTAAGCAATTGAATTGAAATAAATTCTAGCTAATGCCTTTGACCTTCTTGATCCAGGGATAAGGAAAAAATTAATTGTTCTATACAAAACCTAGAAAAATAAAAGGAAGTTCTCATTTCAAATAAGCTCTTCAATGGTGTTTGGATCATCTTCTCCTTGCTTTTCTTGTTTTTGTGATGGGTAGTGTAGTGTAATTGATCTCCTTTAGGGGTAAGCAGTTGGTTAACCGAAATCGAAATAACACAAACCATGTAACACCCTCCGCCCAGTCCCGTGAGACCCAAAGACGGATGCCACATTCGGTGCCGAAGACACCGTCTTAACTTAACATGCAAATCATAAAATTACATTATGAATTAGAAGTAATTGAGTATTCACAAGTTAGTCCCGTTGAGAAAAAAAAAAAACCCAAAAAGACGGATGCCACTTCGTCCGAAGACACCGTCTTAACTTAACATGCAAATCATGAAAAATTACATTTATGAATATGAAAGTAATTGATATTCACAAGTTTTATGTGAGTAATATGTTTGTTTTTTTTCTTAGGATAATCATTTTCATTTCTTTTTTCTATTCTCTTTTTTTTTTTTTTTTTTTTTTTTTTGTGAAAATCTTAGATTTTGGGATATAATATTTCTCTTTTACAGTATATATTATATTACTGGTTTTTAAGATAGTCCTCGTTATAAAAAACTGGAATTTCCATCCGAAGAGCGTTAGTTGTTATTATTTAACAATTAGAGGCACTCCTATTATTAATGGACTCCAAACTCCCAACATCTCAAATAATCTTTCATAACACAACAACACTTCTATATTTTCATAACTATATAAAATCCTCAATAGCATTTTTAATATTTTAATATTCATCAATTAATTGCATTCAGTATATATATCAAGTCTCAATAAACTAATTATATCACTTTAAGATTCGAAAATTTTGGGGCGTTACAAACCAAATGTTCCAATCAGTTAGCATCAAGAGAACGAGCCCGGCCGAATAATAATAGAAATTGAATATTACTGAAATCAGAATACTTCAATTTCATTTCAAGGTACCCAAACCATATCGAATAAATACTTCCAAGCTTAAAAAAAAAAATAAATTCATGTCAAATAACAACAATACATATCAAATAAAATTGGTTGTGCTAATTAGTAGAATTCAGAATTAGCCCCCTTGCTAGATTAAATTGGGTATATATATACATATATATATATATATACTATACATATATATATATTATATATATATATATATAAATATTATATAATATAGAATTTGGATAGGGAATAGTAAGGATAGTGCGAGTTCTATTTATCTGTTAGTTAGAGTTTATTTAGAAATCTAATATCCTATAATATATTTATATATTATTCTTTTAAAAATATATATTTTATTATTGTGTATTATCTATATCCCCCTAATTTTTGGTCATTTATGTCCAAAAGAGGACTTCGCCATATGATGACTATGCATGTCCATTGCCTATTATTATATGTTATTATTACTAATATTGTAGATATTTTTAGGTAGAGAGCCTTTTGTCTGCACTTTGCATCCCAAATGACTTTATTTAGGAAAATGAAGTGATGTTATGTTTACCAAGAAGGAACTTCAAGAGTCACCTCATTAAATATAAGTGACTCTTTGGTGTTTCGCCTCTCTATTAATAGCTATCTTCTTGCTTCATTTGCTTTACTTTTGCATTTTTGATCTTCAGAGCATCTCTCTCTAGAAGCCTTCTTTCTCTTTCTAGTTTTCTTTGCTTGGGTAAGTTTTTTAGCTTATATGCTGCTTTCTTGTTTGTTTTTGGGTGGGATCATGGATTCATTTTGCAATGAGGACGTTCAAGTTTTAGTTGTTTAGTCGGATGATGAGAATTTCGAGGTTGTGGAATCTAGGCTGGGCGAAGCGAGTGGTAGAAGAGAGAATATTAGGATTTCTGACGTCCCTTCCAACATTAATGAGCGCGAGCTTCTCGATATATGCTCTATGTATGGGAACACACCAGAGTACAAGTTAGCTCGGCCTTCTGAGTATATGAGGGTGAATGAATCGTTAAATAGTGAGTATATAATGTTTTATGAGGAAGATTTCCGATCTGGGGTTCGGTCTCGGTCACTAGGCATGGCCGGTTCAGTGAACCGCCGGTTCCGGTTCACTGAACCGCCGGTGTTTCGAGAATGTTTAAAAATTTTGAACGGAACCGACGCCTTGAACACTCCTTTCAGTCCTTTTCCGGTTCGGCACGGTCACGCAACGGTTTCCGGCGAACGACGGTTCAAATTACGGTTCCGATTCGGTACCGGCATTAACGTCAATAATTTTAAAAAAAATAATAAAATTTTGTTCCGAATTCCTGAATAAATATATAATTTTTAAAATGTTTAATATTTTATTAACTAAAATGAATTATTATAATTTTAAAAGAAAAACATCTTTAACTAACTAGAACTATTATTACATTAATTTACCAATTTTGCTAATTTACATAATATAAAAAACTATAAATGCGAATATAAATTTAATGGAATGAGTTTGGAAAATTATTATTTTTCAAATACTAAGAAAAATTATGTTAAAAAATCAAAATGAAGTAAATTTATAAATGGAAAAAAAAAAATTTTTTGGGGGGGGAAAAAGATTAAAAAGAAGGAAAAAAAAGAAAATTTGGAATTAGATGTAAGAAAATAAAAAAATAAAACAATAGATATTCCAATTATTAAGGAAAATAAAGGCCAATATGAAAAAAATAATGAACTATGAAATTTGAGAGAAATTTTGATTGAGAATAAGAGAAGAGTTAGGAATATAATTGATTGTGGAAATAAAAAATCAATCAACTCATCATATTTAATACTGTTCTCATTTATTAGTTTTTCCAAAATTGTCCCTTATTTAATTTACGTAAATTACAGAAAAATAATAATAAATGATTAAAATGAATAAAAATTTATTATAATCAAAAAATAAAATAAAAAACACTTATCATACTCAAAAACTATCCGTTACATCTTTTTTTGTACACTTGAAAGTATTATTTTATATAAATACAACTATTCATGTTACCTTTTTTATATAAATTAAGTCAAAAAAATTTGTATTTTTTTCACAACTTTTTATAACTTATGTAAGTTTTACTTCTTTTCACCATAAATCAAAATCAACTACAAATCAATCAAATTGATATAATTTTTATAAAAATTTAAAGCTACAATTTTTGTAATATCCGGTTCGAATACCGGACCGGAACCAGTCGGTTCAACCGCCGGTTCCGGTTCATATTCCTAACTCCACAATGAAACCTTAACCGGCCTTGAACCGCCGATCCGGTTCAAATTGCCGATTTCGGTCCGGTTCCGGTTCGTCTACAGTACGGTTCGATTCCGGTTCGGTTCCGGTTAGAACCGAACCGG